TGTCCATGCTGAGTCACAGGAACGCCAAGCTGATGACCTGATACAAAATCAACATTATTAGGTACTGCTTCCTCACTGGGACTAAACTTCTGTGGAATAGAAGTCAACTCTAATCTAGCTGTCTGTGGAAGTGACTTGACTAGGGTCCCTGTCCCATACCAGCAGCTGTGTGATTTTGAGAAAGAGACTATCTGGTTGTCATTTTTTTTTCTGAGACAGGGTTTCTCTGTGTAGCTTTGTGCCTTTCCTGGAACTCACTCTGTAGACCAGGCTGGCCTCGAACACACAAAGATCCGCCTGCATCTGCCTTCCAAGTGCTGGGATTAAAGGCCTGTGCCACCACTGCCCGGCTCTGGTTGTCATTTTAATTTTCTCCTCTTTGCAATAAAACAGCGCTATCTGGTGGCCTCCCAGAAGACCAAATAGGTTTTCTGCTAAGGTAAGAGGATGTGTGGCTAGGTCAGTAAGATGAGGCAAGGTGAGACAGAACAAGAACTATGTGATGGTAGGTGTGCAGCTCTGGCCACAAGGCCTCCCTCTGTAATTTATGAGCGTCCCACTTGTCCTGTGCTGAGCTGGAAGTCTGAGATGTGCAGACCCTAGTTGAGGGGCTCTACAATATCTGTGCCTTTGAAACACTGCAGACCTTTCCCATCAATGCCACATCCCACCAGAAAATACCAGGCTCCAAATAGAACCACATGCAACCTATCCAATCATAAATGGCATGTGAGGCTTAAGGCCGCCCCTGAAGCCCTCTGGCCCAATGAGCATACGGGCTGAGACTCTAAACCTCCCCCATTCCACCTTGGTCTTCCTGCCTGGGACATTGAGCATGCTCAGACTTGAGGTCCTTAAGGAAATGCTGAGGAGCTGCTGAGCCGTTGGGGAGGAGGTCTGTGAAGTTCATTCTGGTGAGGGCAGTCCCAGACCAGGGTGGCCAGGCTCAGGGTCTCCTCGGAGTCTGGACATCCTCACAGCCCTGGTTCTGGGGAGGCTGAGGTGAAGATAAACCTGCCTTCTTGACAGCAGTCTCCTCTTAGACCAGGTCTAGTGAGGCCGTCTTCTCAGAGCCTGGAGACTCCTCACAGCCCAGTTCTCATGAGGCTGAGATGCCCTCAGTGAAGATCCAGGATGGCAGGATGCAGTTCTGAAAAAAATGAGAGGCTTTCATCCAGATTATTATGGGCTTAACGTTTTCCATATTTCTTTACTTCATCTTAGTGCCTGTGGGATCAGCAATATCCCCCTTCTCATTCCTTATGTGAGTAACTTTAATAATCTTTCATTTTTCTTTGCTAGTGTGCCTAGAGATTTATCAGTGTTGTATAGATATACGTCTTTTTCTTACCTCTTGTCATCTTTATTTGTCAATTGAATTTTAAAAAATTGACTAGGGGCTTCACAATCACTTTGTTTTTAGTATTTACATAAAATTTATGTCACGGATTACAAATATTCTTAAGTCAGGTGTTAAGTATTTCATAACTATAATCCAAGCCCTTGGGAATCAGGATTCCATGAGTTTGAAAACAGTGTGGGTCACACATGTAGCTCTGGATACACTGGTCTATGCTACAGAGGGAGATCTTATTGTAGAACATACAAACAAAATCCAAATGTATTTACTTTCATATAAAGTCATTTAATGTTTTAGTTTTTCTAATCATGGTTTAGCTTATTCCAGAAATTTTGTTATGTTTTATTTCCAATACGATACTTTTACTTTCACGGTGACTTTCTCTTTTAATCTATTTATTATTTTAAGAATGAAATGTTTAATTTTCATTTATTGGGGATTATCAAGATACTGTTCTGTTATTAACTTGTATTTTAATTTCCCTGTAGTCAGATTGCATACATCACTTTATATCAGGCGTTTTTATATTTATTTAAAACTGTTTAGTAGCTTGTAACGTGGAGTATGTTGAAAAGTGACTTGTTTTGAAAAGTGACATTATATTTGTGTGTTCAGGAAATGCTGACTTAAGCTGTCATTTGAGGAGGTGTTCTGTAAATGTCTGTCAGGTGAAATTGATTGACAGCAGTGTTCATGTTCTCCTTGTCCTTAATGACTTTCACTGCTTTTCATTCTTTCTTTTCTCTTTTTGCAGTAAAAGAACTTAATTTGGTTATAATTTAAAATTTTCTTATTACCAAATCTTGTCATATGGATATATCAGGAGTTAAATGGAATTTTCTATTCCAAATACAACATCTTGAAGCCTTGTTATATAGGAACTTCTGTCCCTATGTCAAAATTGTACTGAATTATTCAATATGTTCATGTTCTTCAAAAGTCTAAAACCCCATTCATTTGACAACTTCTTATTGTTTAGTTCATATAAACAAATGGTAGAAAGTGAAAGTTGATTTTTTACCTATGCATTATATTTTTTATTGATTCTTTGGGAATTTCATACCATACACTCTAATCCCACTCCTCTCCCCGACCCTCCATATCTGCCCGACCTCTTGTAGAGTCCTGCCACGAAGGAAAGCAAAAAAGGAATAAAAAAAGATAAAAATAAACAATAATGAAGAAAAAGAAGAACACAGTAAAGCACTTTGCTCCCCCAGCCTCCATCTTTCCCACCTCTCCATCACCTCTCCATCACCTCTCCATCATCGTCGTGGCATTGGGAGCTGCTGTGTATCATGCAGGTCTAGTATTGATGGTGTACTGAAGCCAGGGGCCTTGAACCCGACCAACACCCACTACACAACGAACATTTGCAAGTGAAGCTGTTGGACTTTCCCTCCTTTTGTTCTGTCGACTCCCATCTCCAACTTCAATTGTGGATTTGTCAGTTTCCATCCACTTTCTCATCCAGGTTGGAGGATTTGTAGTTAAATACTTTTCAAGTGGAATATTCTGTCTGCCTGAAAAATTGTTCCCTTTTCACCACACACATGTATATTATAATATTTGTGTTATTCAGAATAGATACTTTCCCTAGTAAAACTTACTGTTCAGCAGTTTACTCTGGTAGCAGCATGGGTACCAGGGCGTTTTTTAAGAATTCTGCCTTTTCCTGCCTCATTACTCTGACACTCTTCCCATACATTTGTTTTCTATTCATCATAGAGTGAAATCCTGTGTGGTTGTTTATCTTCTCTGGTGATTTCTCCCGTCTAGAACTTTATGTTTAATGCAGTTACATGGTTACTTTGAGTCTTATATCCTGATTGTTTTAAGTTCACTTTTTCTGTCCAAAATGTTTTTTGTGTCTGGTTTTGGGTTCAGTTTATCATTCTATTTATCCCCTCACCTCCCGTGTCATTTAGACATCTTTTTAAAAAAATTAATAGCTGCTTTTCAGGCACTGAAGGCCTGAGAGCTACTAAACTCAGAGCTCCTTCCTTGCTAAACATGCCAGAAAGCTGCCAGACCTCTGGAGCTCATCCATTGTCTGTTATATCAGCTGAGCCAATAATAGTTTATATTTTACAGATTATTTGTGCCAAAATTTCTGTCTTTTGTTATGGTGGAATTCAAGACTTTTGTAAACCTCTCTTAATTAAATACACATGATGAATGACAATATGGTGATGGAACACTGTGCCTTGTAGTGACTAAAACTAATGAAATGCTAAGAAATCCTTATAAAGTTTAAATTTTATGCAGATATATTTGCATCAACTCTGTACATCTCAGGTGTCTTGCATGATCCAATTATTTTGTATTTTCCTGGCATTATCTTTTTATGGTTCTGGGTTCCAGAATGACCTTATAGTACTTATATTCTGTATGGTCACAATCCTTTTTTCTTACCACTGAGTGTATGAGATGAATTAACATCATGTACTGGATGGGTGCAAGTCTCTATGCCTCCCTGGGTCCATAAAAATAAACTGAGAAATTATGAAATGATTTGAAAATTGCACATATGTGTTTAGACATGTAGGTATGTACACATGAGTGCAGTTTCCACAGAGATGAGAAGAGGCTCCAGATTCCCCAGAACTAAAGATATTGGTGTTTGATTTTGGGTCACTGTGATAAGTGATGGGAACTGAACTCAAGTATTTGAAAGAGTACAGTGTGTGTTTTTCTGTTAGGCCAACTCTAGCCCCATCATTCAAAAACCTTAAGAGAAGTTTGGAAGATAGTAAAAATATAGTGATTATGTTTAGTTGTATAAAAATATGTGAGCCCTTGTGCAAATAAGTAATTATTTTTCTGTTTTGTTACTTCTAAAATCAATCTTATTATTCTGTACATATTAATTATATAAAATAAGTCATTTGTTTCTGTACACCACCTTGTTTCCCAGTTATACTCCCTCCATTTAGAATATTTCTCCTTACACTTCCTCAAAATTTTTAACCCTTTTTCCTATTTTTCTACATTCCATTTATGAGAGAAGATATGTGTTAATTGTTTTTAGAGAGTTGTCTATTTCTAAATTTGATGATACATAGTTGGAACAATTTTCTTGAGAATCATACAACTTTTTTCAATAATTTTTATTTTGAATTATCTTGCATTATCTATGGATATTGTGTGGTCTTTAGTCATTCATATAACGGTGGTTCTCTGAGCTCATTTCCAGGAGTGGTACAGCGGGCATGTCTATGTTAAATTTTAATTCATAACCATCGTTACAGCGTCCACAGTACCTGGAATGTTTTAGTTTACAATGAACATAGTGTATATGTTCTTGTTCCACCTCCTTTGCAGCACTTAAAAAATTAGATTTTGTGAAAAAATTAACATTTAAAAGACACTTAGAGATGGAATTACGGGGTAATCTGAATATTATTTAACTAATGTGACAAATGGGTCTGAGGACGCAAGAAAATGACCACAGAATCTATAGTATTTGAGCCAGGCTATAAGTCCTGCTGAAAGTTTATTCTAAATGAAATGGTTGCCATGTATTATTCTTAGTGGTCAGAGTTTGACCTCATATTACTGCATGGTTGGTTACCTCAAAGTGGTCCATTTGGTAAGGAGAATGTACTTGTGAGTACCTAGGTTAACTTTGCACCCATATTTGTATTTCACATATTTGTTGGCATTTGAGATACTGTCTAAGATATGCTGATTGTGAAAAATTGTTTTCAGCATGCAGAAAATGAAACTCTGCTCTCTATCTTCTACCATACACAAGCTCTGCACCAAATGAGCCATAGACCTGATACCCTGAAAATGCCAAAGGACACAGTAGAGAAAATACTCCCACAGCTAAGCACAGGTAAGGATTTCCTGAATAGGACTCTTGTCCAATAGTAAATGAGACCAAAAATCAACAAATAGGATCTCATGAAATTAAGACTTATTTCAGCATAAGAAAATATAATTTAAGTGGTACCATACAGAATATGAGAAAATCACTGGTGTAATATTGGCATCAGAGTTACTGTGTAATTACCTTCCTTCTGATCTGGTGAGGCCTGCACTATAGGAAGGAATTGGTACCTGGTACTCTGTACCTGGTCAAAAGACACTGGCTTGGCAGGTCATAGCCCTTTAGATGATGCTACTATTGTTACTTAGTGAAGTAGCAACTGCTTTATAAATATTTTTGTTTTACACATAGATCTCTTCAGCTCTCAGTCTTGGCCAGAGGTTCTCTTTCTGTGGTATGCAGCAGCAAATGCACAGCCTCATAACTTCAAAATGTTGAAATGACCATGAATGCTCATTCCTAAATGGGACCTGTAGATCAACCACTTCCCCTAGGATAGGAAACATCCTGGAA